ATAGATAGATAGATAGATAGATAGAGAGATAGATAGATAGATAGATAGATAGATAGATAGATAGATAGATAGATAGATAGATAGATAGATAGATAGATAGATAGATAGATAGATAGATAGATAGATAGATAGATAGATAGATAGATAGATTAACCAATTTCTGACACAAAATGTATAATTTTTTATTCTCCTTTCTTTTTGTTTACTGATTTAAAGACACTTTTAGCTCTTAGCTATAGTTCTGGGATATTAGCTTTTAGCTATGAAACTGCCACTTTTAGCTTTTAACTACCAGTTGTTTAGACAATTCAAACCTTTAGCTACAGTGCTGCTACATTTAGCTTTTAGCTGCAATTATGCTAATTTAAGCTTCCTGCTATATAGTTTGTTTTACTAATAAGTGTTTTTTGTTTCAAGCTAGTCAATTTTAACTTTTAGCAACAGTATTGCTAAATTTAGCTTTTGGTGATGAGTTTAATCATTTAAAATGTATTTACTGCTTTGCTAAATGTAGTTTTTAAAAACAGTTTATTATATTTTAACTTTAAGCTATGGCATCAATCATTTTAGCTTCAATGTTTACTACGCTTGGCTTTCAGCTATAGTTTAGCTCAATTTAGTTTTTTTTTTTTTGCTAGTTTTGTCAGATACAGTTTTAATAATGTTTTGCTCAGTTTAGCTTTAAGCTATGGTTTAGCTGATTTATTTTAAGCTACGGTTTTGCTTGCTTTTAGCTTTGTTTTGCTTTAAGCTACTGTTTTGCTCATTTTAGCTTTATTATCCTCTGCCAATGAGGTTATGTTTTGTTTGCTATATTACTTTTTTTTTTTTTTTTTGGCTACATATGATCTCGTTTTAGTTTTTAGCCACAATTTTGCCAATTTTAGTTGTCAGCTAATTTAGCTCATGTTAGCTTGAAGTTGTGGCTTTGCTCATTTTAAGCTGCTGTTTTGCACATTTTATCTTTGTTTTTGCTACACTTAGCTTTCAGCTACAGTTTTGACAATTATTTCAAGTTATGGTTTTGTTAATTTGTTTGAAGCTACAGTTTAGCTCATATTAGCTTTTAACTACTGTTCTGCTAAATGTGCTTTTTAGCTACAATTTAGCTGATTTTAGCTTTTAGCTACTGTTTTACCCATTTTATTTCATTCCTTAACAGATTTCATTAAAATCATTCAGCTTTCACCCTGTATTTCAGCAGATAAAATAGTTTCACCAGATATTTATTTATTTTTGTTAATATTCAGAAAAATCTTAAACTAGACCCAGTGAGTTTCAGCTTTAGAAGTTAAAGGTTTAACCGTCTGTCAGAATCAATCAAATCAAGTTTTTTGTACCTCTAAAGCTCACAAACCAAACCATCATTAATCATTTTTATGATTTAAATCCATCAAGTGTAAAATATTCCTTCATTCCCTCATCGAGGCTGAAACTGTTCGTTCCTTGGGCTGAAACGTCGCAACATACTTTGAAGTATTGCTGAATGATTCCCTACTGGAATCTTTATCATGATATCCATCATAAAAAATGGTGCAATATTTCCATAATCTAAAAGTTTTATTCTCTTGACTCATAAGTATCGTCTCTCCAGCTCAGATAAAGTCACTCAAGGATAAAAACCAGGTCACACGCTGCTTGGGTTCTGATCAGAACGTGTGCTGTAATTAAACCATGCATGTAAATATAGATTTCTGATAAAGTGCTTTTATGTTTCTCAGTTTCATTTTTTTTTTAATCCCTATTTAGTGGATTTAAATTGAGGACAGATGTCTGCTGGAGAGTTCTGGTGAGATGAAATAAAGTCGTGTCTCTTTTACAAGAGCAGGAGACTTCATTTCACTAAAAGTGGAGCGTATTTAGTTTCCCCTGGGCGAAGCTAAAACAGGAGAAGATAAAGTGGAGCAGCCGGGTCGTCCGTCCTTACCGGTCCATCGTTGTGAAACCTGTGCACGCTCATAGGCTCCATCAGTAGGGGGTACAGACTCTGCTGCTCGGGGCGCTCCCAGGACGTCTCCCCTGACGTCGGGTTGTAGAAGTAGGGCCGACCACTGGTTTCATCCACCAGCTGCTCCCAGTCTGATGACCACCTGGAAGTGGGGGTGGTGGACAGGTCAGGAGACTGAAGGGGCGACGGGGGGCAGGGTTCCTCGGCGAGGAGCTGCTCAGGGTCCGTGGGGGTGTCTGAAAAGGGGTTGTCCCAGGTGGTGCGCCCCGTGGTGGGGTGATAATAATATTCCTGTCCGCTCTCTTGGTCAACGTGCACCTCCCATCCCTCCTGGTTGAGGTAGGAAGGAGAGCAAGGCGAGACGTCCGACGGGGGGGACTCGGAGAGACTTTGACGAAGCTCCGCTACGTTGACGTACACGGCTGTATGAAGACTCTCATCCTGCAGCTAAAGAGAAAGTTCAAAATTAGAAAAATGCTGACTTTCAATTCAAACTCTTTCGCGACTTCTACGGACAAAATGTAAAATTTAAAGCCTGGTAATCCATGAAGAAATTCATATAACCCGTCGCTGTGATCACCAAAGTTTAAAACGAATATCTTGTGTGTCCAGAAAAAGCTCCAAGTGTTTGATGGGAATGACTCTTAGCTACTTTAACACAAAGTTTTAGCGTAATATTTGTAAAACTGACCAAGCTGTAGTCATTTTTGTGTTGACTAAGGTGGTTCCCAACTCTGGTCCTTGTGGAACACCATCCTGCATGTTTTCGTTGTTTCCTGCTCCAACACACCTGTTCAGTGATTTAATTACTTCATCAAGTTCTGCAGAAGCCCATTAATCACCCGTTCTTTCAAATCAGGTGAGTCAAAGCAGGAAAACACGCAGGATGGTGTTCCTCAAGGACCAGAGTTTGGAGCCAGTGAATTAGCTGTGGAGGCCATCTAAACTTTTTGGTAGTGGGTATTAAACATAAAAGCCGATGACCAAACAAACGCATCTACAAGCTTTGACCAAAGAGGAACTAAACACAGTCACAGTTGAATTTTGTGGTAAAATGTAGTTTCATAAACAAGACAAGCACAACAGGAAGTGTAATACCTCAGCTACAAGCTAACAATAGTTCTGCGGCTAAAACAGCACAGGAAGCGTACAGCCCAAGAAAGCCCTGTTCTGTTGCAACAATGATCAATAATCCAGGGACATTTGTTTGTGAAAAGGCAACCAGATTATGACTGAAGGTGTGCCCTTTCTAACAGATTAAACTGCAGATGAAATCCTCTGCGATGTGTTTTCATGAGCGCTTTAAAGACATAAAAACACATCGACATGTGACCACAGGTTCAGTTAACTGAAACAACCCCAGTCAGGCATCGACTTTGGCGTCTTTATGCACTTTTTATAGTCGACCTGCCGTAACGAGAAGCTTCTCGTTGTTAAAATTGTTCTCTTCAACAGGAAGCTGCTGGTCCACCGAGCTCCACATCAGCTGGTTTTGAAGATAAACATTAAAAAGTCCAAAGAGGAGCTGGATTTTACTTCTTATCGTTTAGATTACCGTCATGCACCGTTGCCTGTTTTAATGCCAAACGTTAAAAAAAAAATATTGCTGCAAGATTTCAGAGGAACTTGCGTGATTCCTATTTTAAAGTCTTTCCATTGGTTGATTTTTTTTATTCTCTAGCTTTTATTTTTATAATAGGGATTGGGTTTTTTGTTAGTTTACATTTCAAATTAATAGGGATGCACAATATTGGATTTTTGGCCGATAGCAGATATGTTAAAACTTATTTGGCCGATAACCGATACCAATACCGATACTTTCCCCCTAGTCCTACTTACAGAGACTACACAGCGTTCTCTGCTGTTGAATTAAAATACATTATTCTGCAGGTCTTTGTCAGTTTGGCTGCTACCAAATGCAGATGCCAAAAAGGGGTCTGAAAATGATGCAACATTTCAACTTGGATTATGTTTAATGTCAAATTAATTCATAACATTTACTCTCACTAACACAATGACAACACTCGAACAGTGCAAATTTGTACATTTAAATCTAAACTTAATCTGTTCACAAGCAACAAGTGAAAAGTGCATAAGTAGCAGTGCATTAATAGATAAACTTAACAGTTTCTTAAATTAAAAATTAACTTAAAACAGAAGCCTTTATTATTATTATTATTCTGATGGAATGGCCGATGTTTAACTTTATCGCTAATATCAGCCGATACCGATACCATGCCGATAATATCGTGCATCCCTACAAATTATTTAACTTTGTTTACAAATATTTTCCACGATGAAACACATCAATACCTCCTAAATTCCTTCAAACCTGCTTCAGCAAACTTGATCTATTTTCGTCTTTTTGTACCAACTCTAGCTTTAAGCTACTGTTCCGACATGTAGCTTTAGCTACAATTCAGCTATTTTTTGGTTATAGCTACTATTTTGCTACTTTTGGTTTTTAAGCTAGCTTTTTGTTTCTTTAAAACTTTATCTTTGCTCCATTTATCTAAACTTTTATCCTTGTAGCTAAGTATTTTGTTGGTTTTTTTTGCTTTTAGATGGCTCTTTAGTCGTTTGCTACTTTTGATTTAGCTTTGTTTTACTTTTTGATACTTTTGGCTACCTTTTTCCTAATTTCAGCTTCTAGTTTGCCTTTTGCTAATTTTAACTACCCTTTTGCTACTTACAGTTTTTAGCTAATTTGACTTTTTTAGGCTTAAACCTTTGTTTTGCATTTTAGCTTGTAGCTTCTACCTTTTTTGTACTTTTAGCTACTCTTGTGCTTCTTTAGCTTACATCTAGCGTTTTTCAATTTGTAGTTTATAACCAACTTTTAGTTGCTTTTAGCTTTTATCTAGTTTTTTTTTGTTTTTTTAGCTTCAACACTTGTTTTGTTTCTTGTTTTGCTTCTTTTAGTTTTAGCTTCTTCGTGAAGTTTTAGAAGTCATTCAGCGCTCACCATATCTACAAAGAAAATGCATCTTTTTAGTCCTAACGTTTACAATCATTTATATCTATATATTTTTTCTTTGTACTGGCTTAATTGAATTGTTTTTCCATGTTATCGTGAAGCACTTTGTAAGCTGCAGCGTAAATAAGTTTTTCTCTCGGCTTCACCGGCTGCCCAGCAGGGACAGAACATGCAAAACAGACCTGGTCATCACAAATATTTGTTTAAAAGATGCCGGCGGGAGTGAAAGCCTGCTCCTGCGCTCAGTGATGCAAGAAAATTATTACTCACACTTTCACTTGCAACCAGCTCTGGTTGGATAAAAACTGCACGCCGTGTTTCTTTAAGCTCACCTTTGCTCCACCGGGGCCTTTCTGTGGGCTCCTCCTGGGACTCATCGCCCTGAGAAGGTTTTTATTTGCATTCATCAAGGTGGCAGAATTAAAAAGGAGACACTAAAAGTCGCTTCTAGACTAAACGTCTCGTCTCACCGCTAAACTCTTAGACTATATTTACCGGTAGCATGAGCTGAACACTATAATAAACCTGCGGCGGTAAAAGGCGGAAAGTGTTGAGAGGTCAGAGAGAGGCTTAAAGTAAAGAAATGTATTAACGACAGAAACGTAGTTTTAAAATGAGTAAACGCCAAAAAACATGCAGCTTCTTTATGCTATTTTCAGATTTTTTAATAATCTATTTAGCCTATCACAGCTTATTCATGCTACATTTTTGCTCTATTCACATTTTTTTTTTGCACATTTCTGTTTTTCTCCTGCTTTCAGCAAATGTCAACTGTTCAAATTCAACTATATCTCTGCATAAATTAATAAGACCTAAAACATCATCCGATTTTCACACAAGACCTAAAAGGAGATAAAGAGAACCCAGTTGCACCAATGAGACTAAAATATTATACTTGGTCATTTATCTATTGAGGAAAATGATCCAGTAATACTGATTTGTGGTGGTAAAAGTATGTGAATCTTTGTTTTCAGTGATGAAACACCCCCCCCACCACCACCACCACCACCACACACACTTCAGATTCACTTCATGGACAGATGTTCTGACATTTTCCTTTAGAATTCTCTGATATAATTAAGAATTCATTGTTCCATCAATGATGGCGAGCCGTCCTGGCCCAGATGCAGCAAAACAGGCCCAAACCATGATACCACCATGTTCCACAGATGGGATCAAGTTCTTCTGCAGGAACGCAGAGTTTTCCTTTCGCCAAACAGAACACTTGTCATCTAAACCAAAATGTTCTATTCTGGTCTCATCCGTCCTCAGAACGTTCTTCCAACAGTCTTCTGGTTTGTCCACGTGATCTTTAGCAAACTGCAGACGAGCAGCCATGTTCTTCATGGAGAGCAGTGGCTTTTTCCTTCAACCCTGCCATGGTTGTTCAGTGTTCTCCTGATGGTCGACTCATGAACATCAACATTAGCCAATGTGTGAGAGAAGTTACCCTGAGGTCCTTTGTGACCTCGCTGACTATTCCACGCCTTGCTCTTGGACTGATCTTTGTTGGTCCACCACTCCTGGGGAGGGTAACAAAGGTCTTGAACTTCCTCCGTTTGTACACAACGTGTCTGACTGTGGATTGGTGGAGCCCAAACTCTTTACAGATGTTTCGTAACCTTTTCCCGCCTGAGGAGCATCAACAACTGTTTTTCTGATCTCCCCAGAAATCTCCTTTTCTCCTGCCGTGATCCACTTCCACAAACCTGCTGTGAAGATCAGACTTTGATAGATCCCAGATTTTTTTTTTTAAATCACACTGGGAGCCCACGCACACCTGATCATCATCCACTGATTGAAAACACCTGACTCTAATTTCACCTTCAAATTAACTGATAATCCTAGAGGTTCACATACTTTTACCATCATAAATATGTAACATTGGATCATTTTCTTCAATAGATAAATGACCAAGTATAATATTTTTGTCTCAGTTGTTTAACTCGGTTCTCTTGATCTACTTTTAGGACTTGTGTGAAAATCTGATGATGTTTTAGGTCAGATTTATGCAGAAATATAGAAAATTATAAAGAGTTCACGAACTGTCAAGCACCACTATATATTTATTCTCACCTGCAGAAAAGCGAACCGAATGTTATTTTTAATTAAAAGTTTGACACGAACAGCTGCAGCGTCATCGTTTCTCATCACACCATGCTCATTTTAAAGTCCGACGTGAAAGGCAGGCGGGCGATATGCATTCCTTTAAAGAATGCTTAACTTTTAATTAAAAAAAAAAGTTTTCTGTGCAACTTTTCTTGATCACCGTTGGGTTTTAGTGATTTGTAGTTTCAGAGATCAATAATAACTCTTTCATTTCCTCTTTTGTCCCGTTTGTCGTGGGGGTTTGCTATCAATCTGTTTTCGGGTCAGTTGTGTGTTCGTCCTCATCGACCAGCTCAGAAATTTACGTCAATAATGAAGCAAAGTGATAAAACACTTTTAATATAAAAGGTGCAAATACCCA